AATTGCATAGCCAGCGGGGACCTATAACTGTCGCTACGTGGTTACGTAATTCAACACACTGAGTGCTTAAATTACATCTTTTTAGGCATTAGATTGTGTGAATAACTGGTTCTGCTTATAGTTTTTTGCACAACTGACCACAATATAAAAAGATTTGTTATGCTTAGACAACGCATGCTATTTAGCGTTAACACTGATCAACAAATCTCGCAAAAAATTGCATATACAACTCAAAGTGTGCCAGCGTGATATCTATCACGGGCTGAAGTGAAGGCAAAACATGACGCCGATCAAAATCTTTCAACTCACAAGCATACATTAGCTTTAGGGAAACCAAAAACAATTGGTCAATAAAACTTGGAAACCAGATTTTTAACTATGAGTGTACCCTGACAGCACGCTTATAGGATTGAGAAATTGGCAAGTTTTTTTAAACTAATTTTTTTGAAAACAACTGAAATTAAAATTAAAAACACAAACTCCTTGAAGGGTAGATTACCAACCACGAATTCTGCGCTAAATAAAAACCCGGAAAATAAGAAAGTCGAAAAGTTTCAGTGAAAAAAACATGGGAGAAAGAAAACAAAATGTGCCAGCGTGAAATGTGTCGAAAGCCTTTAACTATAGGTAATTGTTAATATAACTTAAAGCGATGAGAGATGGGTTAGGTTTTCTTTGCTTTTGCTCCCATTCAACTAGTGATGTCAGATCTGTTCCTTTTTCCACGCAAACCGAAAAACACGAGCTAAACCATTTTTTTCCTTCAACAACTTGATTTACTTTCTCACTTTCATGAACCAATGCTCACAATTAGATTTCTATGTTACGCCGAGACCACTCTTGCTAGTTATTATATAAAATGGTCAAAAGTTCTGGTTCCTTGTTTAGAAACCTTGCTAGTTTAAACTCGAAATGGGCCAGCGTGAAATGCATCACGGGCTTTTTTCTATCGCTAAGTTTTAACGAAATTCCACATGAAATAACCTAATTTTTCTTTGATATTGCTTGCTACCATTGAACGAAGGATGTCAGATCTGTCATTTTTTTTGCAAAAAAAATAGAATAACATACATATGCAAAACAATTTAAAAATGCCCATAACCTGGTGCTAATTCTCCGCTATTGTTATTGCAATTGTTGACCACCGTCCTTGTTATTTTCTTATTGATTGATTTCGGGGTATTATATATACGTTTTATTTGGAAATGTTCCAATATGAAAAGAGTTTTTGCTCATGATGTTGAATAACTGACTGCAACAACCTATCTGTTTTTTTTTCATTACGTTTGCTGCTCAGATGTATTAAACTTAATTGAAAATAATTCAATTTGCTAGCCATCAATTAGAAAAAAATATTAACTAAGACGGTTCATTATTTGAAAGAAATTTTCGGCACTCCGAGGCAGTAAATATTGACATGTGTAGATAGCCTCTTTCATTTAAATGAGCCAGGTCGCGCAGCTTCCCCTTCTTGTTTCTAGTTCCGAAATCATCTAATTTGAAGAACCGGGCAGACGCGATGGCATAACCGAACTCCCTTTGGAGCCGCTTATTTATTTCCGTTACAGGATTGCACCACATCTGAGTTCGGCGATCATATAGGATGTGGTTATCCCTCCGAGGGAGAAATGCGCAGATGCGCTTTTTGATGTCTGATCTCAGAGAATTCAAGAAACTCCTAAGGTTATCTAAAATTGCTTCCACTGCAAGACTGTTGAGATCATTATTTCCTACTATAATTAACACTTTGTTGTAGTTGTTCGCCTTTTGGCTCAAACCTGCTAAATGCCCCGTTCGCCTTCCGCCAACAGCATCATATGCAACTCTAAATAGTTTTCCAGTCAAACAAAAAAAAGCAGAACTACTGATTGGTCCAGATAGAATTAACATACCGTTATTGCTTGAGCAAAGCATTTTTGTAGATTGTGGGCAGTGAGCGCCGAAGGTTCGAATCACCGATTACAAGGAGATTCGACATCTAACGACAGATCCAACTATTTTAAAAACAAATATTTAAAATTTCGAAATAAAAATGAGTTTTACGTTCTAAGACTACTTCATTCTTGTTTTATTTCCTCTTTTCTTGCTTTTAATGAAAACTATTTGCTGGATGATAAGCTTTTCTACTAAGAACACTAGCACAGTTGTTGACAATGAATAAACTGTCGAGAAATTTTGAATTGATCAAATCGCAGAAAAATAGGAAAAACACATAACCCTATCACAAAATGGAGGTCGGGAGTGCTCGATAAAAAACGAATTCTAATAAAAATTATCCAATAACAAGTAAGAAAAATTGTTACTCGAATATGTCACTTAACTCCGAAAAAAAACACTAGAAAATCGAAGAGAAAAAAAATCACTGAATGAAAGAGACAAAATCAAGAGAAAAAAGGTATAGGAGCTTCACGACCAGCTGAAAAATTCTAAAACAGTAATTCACCCTCGCATTAGAATATCATTCATTATGTAATTTTGCGGCATTTTATTTGAAGCGTTTAGTTTTAGCGAATAAAGCTTATTGAAATAAAAAAGATCATTAGGTATCTACCATGAAATGTATTTTGTGAAGTAATTTTTATGATATAATTTCCCTACTGTTGTGTGATTCTACAAATTCCTTTTAGATAGTGGTCAAGGAGTTGTCTTCTGATTTTTACTTCTGAGAATTCTCTTTTACATGAACTATCTCCTTTTTCTAACAAATTTGCAGTTAAATTTTGACAAAATTGAAATTGTCTTCTATTTTCAGCTAGTGGGTTTACAGAAAATGGGATATAATTGGTCGTTTACTTGGTGATTTCTATTTATCGAGGTGATTTCTATTTTTTGTTATCTATCTCACAGTTGGGTAAAACGATTGTTTGCTTATTTCCTGATTTTTGAATGACATAAGGTTTAGGATGAGAGATGCAAAATGTTGTTACATATTTCTATTTTCTTAGACTGTTAGTTCTTACAATTTTTTGTGGTTAGCTTAACTAGGGTTATGTATTGTAGGGTTGGAGAGAAGATTATATCAATTCATGAGAATGATATTTGCTTTCTCGTGGCTAGTATAAGTTAAGGTGTTAACTTACTAAATCTTACCTAGGGCTAGTGATTTGTGATTAAGGGTTGGAGAATATTCAATCGATCCACAAGGTTCAGGTATAATAAGAACACAAGTAGTTCGTTACGTACTACTTTAAACTTACTAAGTTTCAGCGTTATCTTGGGTCGGTAAAAAGGGGGGATCAAGTGAAACTGTTTATCTTAATTAGAATGGTTAATTTTTTTGTGAAAAATTTCTGTTATTCCTGGTTCGTGAATAAGGGTTGATAGTGAATCGACGTGTGAGGTCGTTAGACACTTTATAATTTGTGAGGGGCAGAACAAAATTGTTCTAGTTGGTCCAAGAATAAGGCTTGATGATCAAAATATAAAATTAATTTAATTGTGATTTAATTTAAGTGAAATTTAATTAAAGATTCAAGGAAAGTCTTGATGATCAATGGCTTTATATAAGTTTTTAATTTCAGTGACAACAAGGTTAAGCCTTAATAATTTAAGTAAAAGTTTAATTGAAAATAATTTAAGTAAAAGTTAATTAAAAGCTTTGTTTTAGTTTTTGGTGGTGTTAGTTGTTTTATGATTTGCTGTTATGTTTTAGGTGATGAAGCAGGGATGAAGAGATGATTTATTTCTATACTAACAACTTGTTTTTTATACTAACTAAATCTTGTACTTTTATATTCAAAAAACAATTTTATTCAACATATTTTTAAATTATTGCAGGTTTTGAATGGAAATGATTAGTGATGTTTTTATCAAACGTTATTGTACAATTATTAAATTTATAGCGCCTTTAGTGATCGTTGAAGAATTTTCTTCAAAGATCCTATGTCAGTAAAGGAAAGTCTAAATTTACTAATTCTGAAAATAAAATTTTGATCTGGCTTTTGCCGTACGATCATAAAATCGATGGTTAGATTTCGTCCTAATCGTATGTCGCCTCTTGTCCGAGGTCTTTTTCCAATACCAGGAAAATCTCGCATTGTTCGGAAAATTGGTAGTGATCTATTGAGTCGTAGAGACAATTCGACTAAATTTTTGTTGTTTAGTATTTTTTTTATGTTATATTGTTCTAATTCTAAGCTAATGTTAGTTTTCTAATCTAAGTTTTCTATGGTCTTGTTCGAGCTGTTTGGTCGCACCAAATGAGTTAGGTTCTATTAGCTCAACTCATAGAGTATTATCGGATAAGGTACATTGTCTGCTCGGCACGCTATATTTTTTTCGGCCGGGTAGATTCGTGTAACTACTAAGTCTAATACCGATCCTAGTCTTACTCTTATATCGTCTAGTCTCAATAGATCTAGAGTATACTGGTTTATGGCGAGTCGGTCTATTGGAGAGAAGCAACTAAATTCTAAGTTAAGTTAAAATCTCTCTGGTTCTGAAACTACAAGTAATTTCAGCACTTACAAATAAGTGGGTTGTTAATTTGATGGAGTATGATTGGTTAGCATTCAATATTTTATAGGGATAAATTATATAAGTTAAAACCAATAATATAATCTAGTTTAGATCTGGTTCCGGTATAAAAGATAGTATACAGTATGAAAACCCGAAAAACAAAGCCCATTGCCTTACTTTTATCAACTAAAATTAGATTTCAAAAGTTCTTTATTGAAAAAAAGAAAAAGATAGATCTTGTTATTGTCTAAATAATTGATTTAGAAGGACAAAGATGGATTTTCGCAAGACACTACAAACCATAAAAATTTCCGAAAAAAGCAATTAGAACCCGTTTTTTGGGGTTGTGAAAAGATCATTTTTTACTATACAAAAGTCTAAGTATTTGTTCAAGGATTCCACAAATGCTGTTGCGCATTCCTCATGCCTTACCATGTTTTTGTCATTTGTTTGTGGACTCAAAACAACAAAGATGATCGAAGAAAAGTAGCAACGTTTCGGATCTGATTTTGGCCCGTTCAGAATCCGCTTACAATGCTGACATGTTGACATGGGAGGCTCCGAGAACGGACACACAGCTAATGAGCTTCCTAGGGTTTGCCAATTATTACCGTGAATTCATCAAAGGTTATGCAGACAAGGTGCATCCAATGCAGAGGATGATGCGCAACAAAGGAAAGAAGTTCGAATGGAACGATGAAGCACAGGTTGCCTTCGAGAACATAAAGCGGGAACTGTGTGAAGCGCCAGTGCTAGGCATGCCTACAGAAAACGGCATGTATGTTTTTGACACAGACCCATCGGAAGTAGCCATCTCAGGAATATTGCATCAGGAGCAAGAATGGAATGGAAAAACGGTTCTCCGTCCCATTGCATATGGCAGCAAGGCCTTGAGTGACACTGAGATGAAATATGGTACACCAAAAGCATAAATGTTTGCAGTAGTCACTTTCGTGGAAAAGTACCGTGCATACTTGGGGAGCGCTCCCTTGAAGTTACGCGTGGACAACAGAGGATCGATACTGGGAAAGAAGTTTATGGGATACGTCAGTGGGAACTTTAGTGATTTTCAATGACAGAAACAGAAATGATCAACAGTATCGGATTACAATGCAGTAGACGAAATTGATGAAATCCACCGAGTGATGATGGAAGTGGAACCAATACTGGAAGCGCCGGGAAAGCGTAATTGGAGGAGCATCATGTTGACACATGATGAGTTCCCCTGCCATTGCTTGCTACAATCCTGGTGGTATCCCAGGCGCAGTAATCTGGTGTTGATCTGGGACTGTGGAGAGCTGCTCTTCATGGGTTTACCAGACTCATCACGGCCCCTAACGATAGTGATAGTTGCAGTTATGATGGCGATACGATGGCTGGAAGCTCATGTAAGGGAGAACAATCGACAGGAAACGCCTACGAGAAGTTGTTGCGTTTGTTTCACAATAACCTAAAAGTCCTAGATGTAGGGTTTTTTTTATGGTGAATTATTATAAATATGCAAGGAAATGATGTCGGAGTTTGAGTGTTTCATGGGCTTAATAGATGAAATGTTTACTCGAAAAAACTTATGAATTGGTCTAAATTCAAGGCCAGACATATAAAGATGTTGTTCGTTTTGACTTTTGTCATATTGATGAACTTGTTTGATTGAGAGTTCATACAGATAACTTGATAGTGGTTTTAGGTGTTTTCGTTCTGTTTTGTATATTGGGTAAAATTTTGAGAAAATAGTGGTCATTTGTTCATTCTTTGAAAGAATGTTAAAGCTGTGTTATTCATCCTTGTATATTTTTCTTTTATAATAAATTTACACACTAAAGTATTAAAAGTTGGTATATTTTTAGTGATAAATGGGATTCCGATGATATTGTGTTTTATATCTGTGATATGGAAAGTTTGTTTGAATGGTTTATTCAAGAATTTATTTTGTTCCATCGTTTTAGTGGGAACAAGGAAAAGTTGATTTTTTCCGTAGTTTGTGCTGTTGCTAGTCTGTGCTGTTGCTAGTTACGGAATATTTGTGCTCGGGGTGGTTTTTTTTTTCTCAGACAAGTTTCGACTTCTTATCTAGCCATTTTTGACGGAATTTTTAAAAATATCATTCGAAAAGTATTGTTGACCTTAGCTCAAAATTGAAAAAATATTTCACTTGTGATCATTTTTCATAAAGATACGAGGGTTTAAAGATTGCCATTTTGGCCAATTTGGGACAATTAACGCGCGATGTATTTTGCGCTTTTGACGCGTAAGCGGAGTGTTAACCAGTCTTAGAAATCGTTCCAATTTACTTGAAAGAAGCTTATTTGCCCTAATTGATTTATTACAAGGGGAGAAATCTATTCTTTTGTATTTCATATGGCGTGCGGGGAGATAATTTCCATAAAAAGTTTCATATTTTAGGATTTTTTTTTCTTTTTGTTTCATTTCATTTAGTTTTTCCTTGTTATTACTGCTCCATAGACCTTAAGAGGCAGTCGGAACAATTAGGGCCTCACCCTGATATGAGCAGTCTTGTTAGCCTTTAAGTTTTCTTCACAGCAGCAATGAGTCCAAACTTCAAAGTCCTTGATGAAAGTTTCGGGTTATCCTAATTTTTTGAATAGGAGTTTTCGTCAAGTTATAAGCACGGAGTTATGCAATTGATAAATTGAATGAAATGAAAACCCTGGTTGACCTCCATACACCAAAAATGCTTATCATACATTTCCATACATCAAGTGTATGGGAAAATGCTTGTCATACAATTTTCATACAATTTCTAAAAATGGTTGAGAAAAGATATAATTTTAGTTCTGTGGCTGTTTGATTCTTATAAAAACACTCTGGTAAAAAAAAAACCGAGGTTTTTGTTTTTTGAAAAAAATGCTTATCATTCAATTCCCATATATGGAAATTGTATGACTGGCCTTTTTTCGAAGGCGACACAAAAATTTTGAAAATTTGGCCCAAAAACTTTTTGTTTTTTTTAACCGCAAATCGAATTTCGTACGCAAACAAACGTTCTTCGAAAAAAATTTTTTTTGCATGCAAAATTTAATTTTTTGTGTGCATAACGTAGTCCTGGTTACAATAATATTGGCTTTTATTTTCTTTTGACTTATTTTTTTTCTTCAAAAACGCTGAAAATTCCTATTTTCTTTGTATGGGGTGTTTATATATGCCTTGATCAATGTCTGATAATTTGAAAAATCAAAAATTCAAAATAATCTTCATTAAAAGATTTTGTCAAAAACTAAAAGCTTGTTGCTTTTGTTATATAAATTGTGAAAGACAGCCTAACTCAGATAATGCAAAGACCGTCCAACCTTTGGTGCTTTGAGTAACCAAGGTCTTTGTTAATTGTGTTCGGCTGCAAACACAACCGAAAACTCTTCAGAAAATAAATTTAGACAGAAAAAATCAAAATTTTTGGTTTATGGAAAAACATCTATCATACAATTTTCATTTATGGAAAAATGTTTATCATAGAGATTTCATACAATGTTCTGTACGTATGGCATTGTATGGAATTGTATGATAAGAAGTTTCTCATATATGGGAATTGTATGATAAGAAGTTTCGGTCATCCCGGGAACATAGTTAACAGACAAAATAGTTGAACAAAGTTTCGCTGAGAAGAACTTTAATAACTAAAACAAACTAGGGAAAAACAAGTTATAGATCTAAAAGCGAGAAAACCAGCATGAACAAAAATGATGTTTAAAAAAACATACTTCCTCAAAAATTGGATTTCCATTTATGAATGGAAAATCATTTGCTTGAAACGTTTGAATCGTTCTAATTAACTCCAGTCTCAATCATGAGTCACGGGTATTTAATTACTGACAGTTTATAAGCATTTGTTTGTTCGTGACCAAAACTTAGGCAATGTGGGGGCTAGGAAATTAGACAATAAGCAAATTAGACGGATGCTACAAAAAACATACTGGAAGAAATTTATATATTACAGATCTGGAGTTTTAGACGCCACTGCTAAAAAAAAGGAAAGAGGCAACAAAGATTTTTCATATGAGTCAAGTTTCATAAATGAAAAAAGGACATAAACTGACAAAACCTATCATAACAATTAGTTTAAAAGAACATTAAATGTCAAATCCGAATATTACAGAAGAGTTTTGAATTGAATACATTATGCATGATTGACTTCTAAATTTCTTGGCTACCGAAAATTAACTGTTGTCTGCAAACAATTTTATTTTTCTCACGCAATTTGTAGGCAAACAATTTTCATCTCTTTTCAAAATTCTTTTTTGTAGAAATCGCCTCCTAAGTGATGAAGCTGTCCTCATAACCTCTACTGCTTGCAAAGAAAACGGCGGAATCTTTCTGAACTTTTTTCTATTTGATTGAAAAAAGATTGAATAAATTTTGCTCGTAAAAAAATTTTGAATAAATTTTTCTCGGAAAATTTGTCAGTCTAAGTTTGTAATCTAAAAACAAGTTGCAGCTTCATAATTTGGGGATCTGAAAATAGAAAAAAAATCATCGAATTCATCAAAAATGATTTCAATTCATTTGATAATGTTATAAAACAGTTACAAGTTGGATACTCTAACGAATGGATTACAAATTTGTACAAATCTTGGAGTCAAAATAGGAATTTATTCAATAAGTTCAGCTCGATTTCGTGTCTGGTCTAATTGTTTATAAAACCTGCGATGACTTCTGGTCCAATTGATTACTTCTGGTGTAATTGTTTATAAAACCTGTCAGCTTCTCTAAGTGCATCTGGTGTTTTTCGGTCAACGATGACTACGTGATCATGAGGGTGCTTGGAAACCGTAAGAGGTTCCCGATAATCCCATTGGGCAACTCCACTCGTTATATCTCTTATAACCAGTGGACCTTCAGGTGCGCAAGTTTTACAATAGGCGGTACAATTTATATAGAGCCATCGGCTTTCTCGTTTGCAAACTGCGCAGCTATTCAACAAGCCCTCAGAAAAAGCTCTTAACCTTCTAGCTTTTTAACAAACCGAAAAGTTTTGATAGGCTCAAAATCCATTTTCTCTGCCAGCAATTGAATCAATATTTTTGATGGTATTGCTGCGAGCCGTTAAAAAATGTTCGCTAGGCTGAATTCGATGCCGTAAAACAGTACCAAAAAAGATCAACGATGTGTCTGTTTTGTTTCTAGGAAAGAAAACCCGCACCGAAGTTTCATGGGTAATAATTGATTATAATTCATTTTTTTTTTCAATATAATGGATCATTTTTTGTACATAAATTCCATGAAAATTGATTAAATTTTGTAAATAATGACTCTAATTTCTGCAACTTTCTGCAAAACTCGAACGAACACGTTCATCCAGGGGCGACCAATATGTAGTAATTTTCCAAAAAGTGCCCAAAAACAGCATTTTTGACCAGCTCCTCACGTCACCAGTACCCCCCTGGGAGGTATTGGTGTGGGATCTATAGGTTACTTTTTGTAATTTTTCAATAACTCGATTGAAAATAGGAAAAAATGAAATTAAGCGAGAGAACAAAATAACTAACTTAACTTTAACAAAATTATGAAAAAAAGAAAGCAACAAACAAAAAGATTTGAATAAATGGATTATAATCCATTATAATCGATTGAAATGGATTTTTTTTCTTTTGATAACTTTTTTTGAAAATGGAATATAATCGATTATATTGGGATTCTATTGCTTAAAAAATATTATCATTATAATCCATTTAAATCGATTATAACCAATTACTTTTTGTTATTTTGTAGAGACTGACAATAAAAATTCAATATAATCGATTATTATCCATGAAACTTCAGTGCGGGAAGTCATTATCATAAAAATGAAAAACACTTGTTTCAAAAAGAGCAAAATAACAGAAAAGGTTGAGTTAAAATATTAAGAGCCCATATAATAAACTGTTTTCAACATTATAAACTGTTTTCAACTTTAAACAACATAAATTATGTTGTTTAAAGTTAATTAGATATTTTATTTATGCCCGGGTTGACCTCCATACACCAAAAATGCTTATTATACAAATCCATACATCAAGTGTGTGGAAAAAAGCTTGTCATACAATTTTCATACAATTTCTAAAACTGGTTGAAAAAAGATATAAACTTATTTCTGTGGCTGTTTGATTGTAATAAAACAGTCTGGTGATAAAAAAAACGAGGTTTTTGTTTTTTGAAAAAAATGCTTATCATACAATTCCTATATATGGAAATTGTATTACTGGCAATTTTTTGATGGCGACACAAAAAAAATTTTCTGTAATTTTGAAAATTTGGCCCAAAATTTTTTTTGTTTTTTTTTTCAACCGCAAATCGAATTTTGTACGCAAATAAACATTTTTCGAAAAAAATTTTTTGCATGCAAAATTTAGTTTTTTGTGTGTATAACGTAGTCCTGGATACGATAATATTGGCTTTTATTTTCTTTTCACCTAATTTTTTTTTCAAAAACGCTGAAAATTCTTATGTCGTTTGTGTTTATGTGTTTATGTATGCCTTGATCAATGTATGATAATTTGAAAATTCAAAAATTTAAACTAATCATCATTGAAAAATTTTGCCAAAAAATAAAAGTTTGTTACTTTTGTTATATTAATTGTGAAAGACAGCCCAATTCAGGTCGTTTTATATGCATTGTAAATGCAAGACCGTCCAACCTTTGGTGCTTTGAGTAACCAAGGTCTTTGTCACTTGTGTTGGGTTGCAAACACAACCAAAAATTTATCAGAAACTAAATTTAGAAAGAAAAAACCAAAATTTTTGGTTTATGGAAAAACACTTATCATACAATTTTCATATACCAAAAAATGCTTATCATAGAGTTTTCATACAATTTTCTGTACGTATGGAATTGTATGAAATTGTATGACAAGAAGTTTCTCATATATAGAAATTGTATGATAAGAAGTTTTGGTCAACCCGGGTGAATTAAATTTGTTACAATTTAATCGGGTGAAGGACAACAAGAAGGATCTTAGTTAGACAAAGAATTTAATAGACAGTGCTAGTACACTGCTTTTGCTATTACAAGGAACTACAGTGCTACTACACAGTGCTGTTTACTGCTTTTATTTATAGGAATAGCAATTCAGGCAGTGAGCCTAATAACTAACAAAAAAGAAGGATTTTGGCGGGTAATTAATGAAAATGTGAAAACGAATAAACTTTTCACATTTTGTTTGCCCTCAAATCGAAGAGAAAAAAATAATACTGCTGTTATAAGTAGTTGTTCGAAATTCGGCTAATAAAGTTCTTCCAATCGGTCGCCTTGCTTTTTTTTATTTACTTTCTCTCATAATAGCCTATTAAATTCTCCTTGTCATTCACACTAGACGATGATTGAAAACTCGCTAATATTTTTCTTCCAATTGGTTGGCTTGCTTTTTGTTGGCTTTACTGTTTTTCATAATTTCCCCTTAATTTCTGTATGGATCAGATCCAACTCCTTATCGATCAGTTTAGTTGTTTTTAAACAGTTTTAAATGGGGCAGTACAACAGTGCCGAAGTACAGCAGTGCCGAAAATGAAAAAGTGTTCAACAGTGTTGAAAACTGATCATTTTCAGCTGTTGAACAATGAATCATTTTCGGCACTGTTGTTTTTTGGCACGGTTCTGATGCCCTTAGAGGGGCGTTCAACAGTGACGAAATTCAAGAGTGCCGAAAACAAAATTATTGATCAACAGTGAGCACAATCATCAAATTTCGGCACTGTTGAACACTTTCATTTTCGGCACTGTTGTACTTCGGCACTGTTGAACTCCCCCATTTTAAATACTGTTCAAGTTTGTATTCACAGCCCACTTTTTTCTTTTTGTCTCTTTTGAGTTGTCAATTTTTCATTCAATCAGAATGCAGAAAAAATTGATGCATAAATAGTACGCTCTAGAGCTAGTTTAATGCTTTTATCTGCAGGGGTGGCACTATTATGTAGATATCATAGGGGAGAATTGATGCCAATTTAATAATTGTTAATTAGATCCTTCATAGTCTCATAATAGTAGTGCCGCTCAAAATACACAATGAAGGATCTAATTAACAATCACTAAATTGGCATCAATTCCCCCCTATGATATCTATATAATAGTGCCACCCCTGCAGATAAAAGCATTAAACTAGCTCTATAGCGTACTATTTATGCATCAATTTTTTCTGCATTCTGATTGAACGATAAATTGACTATCTTAATTTAGTGGATCAACCGTAAAATCTCTCCCCCTCCAAGTGAGCTACCTTAGAAGGCCCCGCCCAAGCATGTATTAATTTTGAAAATTAAGTTTGTATATAAAAAGCATTTCATAGAAACCCGCAAATAATACTACTTTTAACATTTTTTATGCGGAATTGCATTTGTATGCTCTTAAATACCTAGATTAATGTTCTATAACAACTTTTTTTTCGATATGCTTAAATGTGAACAAATCTAGGCTATAATCGAAGTTAGCTTATAAAAAATCCAAATTTTTTGCTTCCTAAATCGATTGGGGGGGGGGAATTGTACGGTTGATCCAATTAATTAAGCTAATATATATTCGTGGATTAGTTTTTGATTAGAATCAGTTATTCACTTCTTCGATTCATCAAAATGCAGCAACGTTCAGATTACAAACAAAACTTTCTAGTGCTAGCTTACTGCTGTTATTTATAATGGTGGCGATTCAGAAAGTGAACTTAGTAACAAAAAATTGAAGGTGTTTTTGCCAATAAAGGAACAAAGGCGGTAAACAAATGATAGTTTCTCAGTTTGATTGTTCTATAAATTAGCATTTTAGAAAATATCTGCTGTAATAGATAGTGACTCGGGTTGACCACAAAAAACCAAAAATGCTTATCATACAATTCCATACATCAAGCGTATGGAAAAGTTCTAATCATAAAAAATCATTGAATGAAGATTCGAACTAAAGTTTGATGCTTTTAATGTGTGATTTTTGAAAAGAACTTTTACACTATTCAGGTCGTTTCCAATACATTGTAAATGCCAGACGATCTACCCCTTAGTGACTCTAGTTTTAAATAAACTATGGGTTTGGTCACTTGTGTTCGGTCACAAACACATCCCAAAAGAATTTTGTGAAATAATATTTTTAAAAAATCAACTTTTTTGGTTATGAAAAAAATGCTTGTCCTACAAATTCTATTTATGAAAAATGCTTTTCTTAGAGTTTTCTTAACATTTTTTGTATCTATGGAATTATAGAAAATTGTATGATAAGCATTTTTTCATATATAAAAATTGTGGGATAAGCATTTTGGTCAACCCGAGGGGTCAGTATTACCGCTAGTCTACTATTAGTAATAATACTCGTCTTAAGATTTAGTGCTAGTCTACTATTATGAGACTATAAAGGGGTCTACTTAACAATTCAATTACTAGCGTGGCGAAACTTACAGTGGATCTACCTAACAATCCCCCCCCCAAGGTTTTCTACTAAAGATTTGCCACCCCTATACCTCTATAAAAAAAACAGTTAGCTAGTACTAGATCTTTCCATTTGAAACTCGAATTTTGCTGCATTCTGACTAGTCAAAAATTGACTAAGTTGGCCTAACAAACAAATACACCTTCCTAGAAATATTAGGTAGATCAAATTGATTTTTTGACCAATCAGAATGCAGCAAAGTTCGAATTATGAACAGAATGCTCGTTCACTGCTTTTATTTATAGGGGTGGAATTCTTTAGTAGATACCCTAGGGGGGATTGATAAGAAGATTCACTATAAGTTATGCCAAGCTCTGGTACAACTGAATATAGAAGCTCAGTGAGATGTGTGCCTGCGTATTTCGCATACATCCGTTTGTGCCGACTATTGTAAATAAAGTGTCACATACTTTTGAAGTATGCGTGCATGCACGAGCCCAACCACATATCTTCAGGTCGCCATATGCAAGGAAGTGAGAAGTTGAAGTTGACACTGTTCCCATAAAATCCAATGCAATGCTGCGCACAGTTTTGTACCACAAGCTCTCAATGATAGAGCTGCTGAATATTTCCAATTGACCCATACAGTATTTGAAGGGCGCTTTCTTTCCAGGTAAAACGCTCTCCGGAATCTAAGGCGAGGTTCAATTGTGACAGATGGATTGCGTTTTTCAATAATGTGAATCACAGACGCATTTCGACCCTAGCGAACAGCCTCTTTTTGGCTCAGTTTCACCCTATGCATGAATGGTCAATCGACCCAATTTATTTTGAAAACTGTTTGTCGATCCAACGAAATTACGAAATTTGAGGGCAGCGCGACCCTTATCATTTTTTTGGGAAAACTCGTCCAAAAAGTTAAAAATGACGCTTTTGTCTAATTAGAAAATCAATTGATTTATGGCCGATTCATGATTCTCTAAATTAAGACGACTGCTCGTATGAGGACAAAACCCTGATTCTTATGCCGTAAAATGCGACTGTAGCAAAATGGTTTTTAGAAACAAATTAGAGAAAACTTTTTTTGTTAACTGAAAAAAAAAACACTTTTAAAAATTTTCTTACCCCACACTTTTAGCTGAATTGAATTGCTGTCTAGTCATTCTTAGAAATATAAATAGACCGCACAATAATTAACCCAAATGGTCCTTTTTCAAAACTTAATATCCTAACAGCTTTACAAAACGCACTTGCAAAACACAAAAATTATTAAACTTCAAGTTCGAGCATCGATATTGTCAATAGTATAAAAAGTTCTGCCAAAAAAACTAGGATGTTATTTTGAAAATTGAGTTGTAATACTCAAAGATGATTGGTTGAAATTACTTGCGGAAAGATCAATCAACAGTTTGGTCATTTTAGGCCAAATGCAAAAGTGAGCCGAAGTCGTTCAGAGCGTGGAAGTTTTAAGAAATCAGCGAGCAAAGTTATTCTGTGCTTTTTCCAAGTTCTTTAGTTATTTTTGGGTCCCATCTATCATAATATAACCTCAAACCGGGGCAACTTCGAGTTTTTACGAGGTACCTCTATGAATCTGCAAAGCCCTGCCGTGTTCAAGGGCACGTGACTTTCGGCATTTGGCTTGCGCGGGTTCGCAATTCTCCATTCCGGGTTCTTTCAGCAGTACAATTCTCAATATTTTGCTGTAGTTTACTTACGCAATTACTTAATAATTCAAAACAACGAGACTGGGGATTTTTCACTCAAGTTAGACAAACGAGCTGTAGCTGATTTGGAGGGAGAGGAGGGGTTGTGGGTGTTCGAATCTTTACGGAAATTTATCACCTTGATTTTTTCGCTCCTAATAAATAAGGGAAAATTCGTTCATCGAAAAAGAAACCAAAAAACTTCTGTTTTTCAAAATTTTGCTAGCATTTTTGGTGTTTTTTTTGTAAAAGGTAACTCGAGCCTCTAGAAACTTTTCTAGTACTAACAGCCCCACAGTACTACTGATTTATATCTCCTGAGTTGTTCAAAACCAAAAAAAAATCCAAAATCAGGCAAAAAATCAGAACGGAAAACTCTGATCATAGATGGAAAACAGTCATTGCGCACATAAAACATATCAAGTTGATCAAAAAAAATACAGCCGGCCGACAGCTAAGTACTGCAAAAAAAAAATTTAGTTTTATGATGTGGAAAAAAAATTTTCAATGCTTCTATTCGATATCAAAAATTGACTTTGATGAAACATTATTAAATGCTTCAACAAGAAAACTAATGATTTAAACAACAGTTTATATAAGAGATCTTCATAATGAGAAATATATCATGAACTGGAAATTCTAGTTTTCAACTATTTTTACAGAAGCGTTCTCATTTTTGTTAACACCAAAAACCAAAAAAAAAAATTTTAAGGTTTTAAATTTTCATCATTTAAGGTCAAAATATAGTCCAATACTATTTCGATCCATGATCGAACACAAAGTCGACCACAGGTAGGGTCGAAAAATAGTCGAGCAGAAAGTCTCACTTAAAGCTTGGTCGAGACATAGTCAAAAACATGGTCAAAACATAGTCCAATACTATTTCGATCCATGATCGAACACAAAGTCGACCACAGGTAGGGTCGAAAAATAGTCGAGCAGAAAGTCTAACATAAAGTATGGTCGAGACATAGTCAAAAACATGGTCAAAACATAGTCCAATACTATTTCGATCCATGATCGAACACAAAGTCGACCACAGGTAGGGTCGAAAAATAGTCGAGCATAAAGTCTCACTTAAAGCTTGGTCGAGACATAGTCAAAAACATGGTCAAAACATAGTCCAATACTATTTCGATCCATGATCGAACACAAAGTCGACCACAGGTAGGGTCGAAAAATAGTCGAGCAGAAAGTCTCACTTAAAGCTTGGTCGAGACATAGTCAAAAACATGGTCAAAACATAGTCCAATACTATTTCGATCCATGATCGAACACAAAGTCGACCACAGGTAGGGTCGAAAAATAGTCGAGCATAAAGTCTAACATAAAGTATGGTCGAGACATAGTCAAAAACATGGTCAAAACAAAGTCCAATACTATTTCGATCCATGATCGAACACAAAGTCGACCACAGGTAGGGTCGAAAAATAGTCGAGCATAAAGTCTCACTTAAAGCTTGGTCGAGACATAGTCAAAAACATGGTCAAAACATAGTCCAATACTATTTCGATCCATGATCGAACACAAAGTCGACCACAGGTAGGGTCGAAAAATAGTCGAGCATAAAATCTAACATAAAGTATGGTCGAGACATAGTCAAAAACATGGTCAAAACATAGTCCAATACTATTTCGATCCATGATCGAACACAAAGTCGACCACAGGTAGGGTCGAAAAATAGTCGAGCAGAAAGTCTCACTTAAAGCTTGGTCGAGACATAGTCAAAAACATGGTCAAAACATAGTCCAATACTATTTCGATCCATGATCGAACACAAAGTCGACCACAGGTAGGGTCGAAAAATAGTCGAGCATAAAGTCTAACATAAAGTATGGTCGAGACATAGTCAAAAACATGGTCAAAACAAAGTCCAATACTTTTTCGATCCATGATCGAACACAAAGTCGACCACAGGTAGGGTCGAAAAATAGTCGAGCAGAAAGTCTCACTTAAAGCTTGGTCGAGACATAGTCAAAAACATGGTCAAAACATAGTCCAATACTATTTAGATCCATGATCGAACACAAAGTCGACCACAGGTAGGGTCGAAAAATAGTCGAGCATAAAATCTAACATAAAGTATGGTCGAGACATAGTCAAAAACATGGTCAAAACATAGTCCAATACTATTTCGATCCATGATCGAACACAAAGTCGACCACAAGTAGGGTCGAAAAATAGTCGAGCATAAAGTCTCACTCAAAGCTTGGTCGAGGCATAGTCAAAAACATGGTCAAAACATAGTCCAATACTATTTCGATCCATGATCGAACACAAAGTCGACCACAGGTAGGGTCGAAAAATAAACGAGCAGAAAGTCTCACATAAAGCTTGGTCGAGACATAGTCAAAAACATGGTCAAAACATAGTCCAATACTATTTCGATCCATGATCAACACAAAGTCGACCACAGGTAGGGTCGAAAAATAGTCGAGCAGAAAGTCTCACTTAAAGCTTGGTCGAGACATAGTCAAAAACATGGTCAAAACATAGTCCAATACTATTTCGGTCCATGATCGGACACAAAGTCGACCACAGGATGGGTCGAAAAATAGTCGAGCTTAAAGTCTAACATAAAGTATGGTCGAGACATAGTCAAAAACATGGTCAAAACATAGTCCAATACTATTTCGATCCATGATCGAACACAAAGTCGACCACAGGTAGGGTCAAAAAATAGTCGAGCAGAAAGTCTCACTTAAAGCTTGGTCGAGACATAGTCAAAAACATGGTCAAAACATAGTCCAATACTATTTCGATCCATGATCAACACAAAGTCGACCACAAGTAGGGTCGAAAAATAGTCGAGCAGAAAGTCTCACTTAAAGCTTGGTCGAGACATAGTCAAAAACATGGTCAAACATAGTCCAATACTATTTCGGTCCATGATCGAACACAAAGTCGACCACAGGTAGGGTCGAAAAATAGTCGAGCAGAAAGTCTCACTTAAAGTATGGTCGAGACATAGTCAAAAAAATGGTCAAAACATAGTCCAATACTATTTCGATCCATGATCGAACACAAAGTCGACCACAGGAAGGGTCGAAAAATAGTCGAGCAGAAAGTCTTACTTAAAGTTTGGTCGAGACATAGTCAAAAACATAGTCAAAACATAGTCCAATACTATTTCGGTCCATGATCGAACACAAAGTCGACCACAGGAAGGGTCGAAAAATAGTCGAGCAGAAAGTCTCACTTAAAGCTTGATCGAGACATAGTCAAAACATGGTCAAAACATAGTCCAATACTAATTCGATCCATGATCGAACAAAAAGTCGACCACAGGTAGGGTCGAAAAATAGTCGAGCAGAAAATCTCACTTAAAGTATGGTCGAGACATAGTCAAAAACATGGTCAAAACATAGTCCAATACTATTTCGATCCATGATCGAACACAAAGTCGACCACAGGTAGGGTCGAAAAATAGTCGAGCATAAAGTCTAACATAAAGTATGGTCGAGACATAGTCAAAACATAGTCCTTGTCCAATACTATTTCGATCCATGATCGAACACAAAGTCGACCACAGGTACGGTCGAAAAATAGTCGAGCAGAAAGTCTCACTTAAAGCTTGATCGAGACATAGTCAAAAACATGGTCAAAACATAGTCCAATACTATTTCGATCCATGATCGAACACAAAGTCGACCACAGGTAGGGTCGAAAAATAGTCGAGCAGAAAGTCTCACTTAAAGTATGGTCGAGACATAGTCAAAAACATGGTCAAAACATAGTCCAATACTATTTCGATCCATGATCGAACACAAAGTCGACCACAGGTAGGGTCGAAAAATAGTCGAGCATAAAGTCTAACATAAAGTATGGTCGAGACATAGTCAAAAACATGGTCAAAACATAGTCCAATACTATTTCGATCCATGATCGAACACAAAGTCGACCACAGGTAGGGTCGAAAAATAGTCGAGCAGAAAGTCTCACTTAAAGCTTGGTCGAGACATAGTCAAAAACATGGTCAAAACATCGTCCAATACTATTTCGATCCATGATCGAACACAAAGTCGACCACAGGAAGGGTCGAAAAATAGTCGAGCAGAAAGTCTTACTTAAAGTTTGGTCGAGACATAGTCAAAAACATAGTCAAAACATAGTCCAATACTATTTCGGTCCATGATCGAACACAAAGTCGACCACAGGAAGGGTCGCAAAATAGTCGAGCAGAAAGTCTCACTTAAAGCTTGATCGAGACATAGTCAAAAACATGGTCAAAACATAGTCCAATACTATTTCGATCCATGATCGAACACAAAGTCGACCACAGGTAGGGTCGAAAAATAGTCGAGCAGAAAGTCTCACTTAAAGTATGGTCGAGACATAGTCAAAAACATGGTCAAAACATAGTCCAATACTATTTCGATCCATGATCGAACACAAAGTCGACCACAGGTAGGGTCGAAAATTAGTCGAGCATAAAGTCTAACATAAAGTATGGTCGAGACATAGTCAAAAACATGGTCAAAACATAGTCCTAGTCCAATACTATTTCGATCCATGATCGAACACAAAGTCGACCACAGGTACGGTCGAAAAATAGTCGAGCAGAAAGTCTCACTTAAAGCTTGGTCGAGACATAGTCAAAAACATGGTCAAAACATAGTCCAATACTATTTCGATCCATGATTGAACACAAAGTCGACAACAGGTAGGGACGAAAATAGTCGAGCAGAAAGTCTCACTTAAAGCTTGGTCGAGACATAGTCAAAAACATGGTCAAAACAAAGTCGACCACAGGAAGGGTCGAAAAATAGTCGAGCAGAAAGTCTTACTTAAAGTTTGGTCGAGACATAGTCAAAAACATAGTCAAAACATAGTCCAATACTATTTCGGTCCATGATCGAACACAAAGTCGACCACAGGAAGGGTCGCAAAATAGTCGAGCAGAAAGTCTCACTTAAAGCTTGATCGAGACATAGTCAAAAACATGGTCAAAACATAGTCCAATACTAT